CACCTGGAACCCCTTTCCTAATAGAGCCGGGGAACTGATGGAGCCTCCTCTGCTGCTTCCTGAGAGGGAGCCACACTCAAGGCCAGCCCGAGGCCACCAGGCCACAGCTCTTGCTCTCGGATGTCTGAGGGAGGAGGGAGCCCCTGTGGTCCTCTAGTTCCCCCACCCTCCTGGCTGCTGGGGTTTCCCCATTTTGGCCCCTGCCTAGCCATGCCTCGATTCTGTTCCCTTCTCTACCTCATCACTATCGCCCCGCCACCAGAATCTCTCTGTCCTGGGTCTCTTTACGTCACAGACAGTCACTTGTTAGCTGATTAACACTTAGCCATGGCCATGAGCTCATAGGCTTACCCCAAGGACTGGGAACCCCTCCGCGTTATTTGCACATTCACAGGGAATTCCCAGAAGCACTAGCCTTTATCAATGAACAACTTGCCAGGCACTGTGCTAGATGAGTTGACATATGTTATCCTTTTTTTTTTTTTTTCAGTTTCACTCTGGTTGCCTAGACTAGAGTGCAATGGCACGATCTTGGCTCACTGCAACCTCCACTTCCCAGGTTCAAGCGATTCTCCTGCCTCAGCCTCCTGAGTAGCTGGGATGACAGGCATGTGCCACCATGCCGGCTAATTTTTTGTATTTTTAGTAGAGACAGAGTTTCTCCATGTTGGTCAGGCTGGTCTTGAACTCCTGACTTCAGGTAATCTGCCCACCTTGGCCTCCCAAAGTGCTGAGATTACAGGTGTGAGCCACCATGCCCAGCCCATATGTTATCTCATTTAATTCTCACAGCAATTCTGTAATTATTCTCTATTCCCATGTTGCAGGTGAGGACGGTATTGCTCAGAAAGGTTAAGTAACTTGCTTAGGGTCTCACAGATAATAATGAGAGCTGATAATATATGAGCTAATAATAATGAGAGATAATAATATAATAATATTATTATATTATATGGCACCCGTGAGGCATAGGGAGAGAGGACTTGGTAGTAACTGGGACGTGGCCTTGCCTTCTCTGCCTTCTGAAGAGCCAGTTCTGTTTGTTCAGCTCCTATGAAAGGGCAACAGGACTTTCTGGGATTTTCAGGCATAACCCTGAAGTTCAGGTAGAAGTTGCTGTCCCCAAATCTATTGAGCCAGGGGCTTGTAGCCTTCCCAAAGGGGAACATAGTGGACGCATGGCTAGCGGGGACTGAAAAGGGAAGCCCAAGCAGCTGGATATCAACCCCCATTTATAGCAATACCTCTGTGGGGTATGTGAGAGAGCAAAAGCTCACAATATTATAGGGAGCACTGAAGAGGGCCTAAGCTCCAAGCAGGATGAGTCAAGAGGATTCTGGCTCCTGAGCACTGTAAGCAGATGCCAAAGAGGCATCTCTGGCCCCTTCATGAGGTGGGCCTGCGGTGCCAGGAAGCCAAGCCCACCAGGTGGCAGCAAAGAACCAGTCAGTGGCCAGAGAGGTCTAACAGGTACAAATCCCAACCCTGGGGCTGGTGTGGGGGCCAGGGTAGGGGCTGTGCCATCTGAGCTGCCTCACAGTAACAGTTCACACTTTTGTTGCTAGGCATATTCTGTGCTGGGTGCTGTACCAAGCACTTCCAACAGGATCTCATTTAACTCTGACCATGAACCTGTGAAGCAGATGCTGCTATTACCCCTTTCATTTCAGATGCATGCACTGGGGCTTTCAGAGGTTTGCGAGTTGCCCAAGGTCACACACACTGAAGAGATGAGGTGCAGGTGGTTTGGACTCTACAGCTCCTGCTGTTAATTTGGGACTATATTGCCAGGGGAGAAAAGGAAGCCACTTGAAGTGTTGAAAGTGAAGGCAGGTAGGGCCTGACTTGGGCTGGCTTTGGTGTGGACTCTGAGGCCCGAGGCCAGCTCATGAACAGACACTAAAAGCCTAGTTAAAGGGACCTTCTAGGGGGCTTCTAGGAAACAGGATGTGGTAGGATTTTCAAGTTGAGGTGCCCAGGGAACCCCTATTTGAAGAAGTGAGAGCCAGGTTATCCTGTTCACATAACCCCAAAAGGGCTGGGCACCTCAGAAGCTGCAAACCACTCAAAGACCCAAACGGATGCCTGTGAAAGAGATGGTCAGGTCTCCCTCGTTGAGCTCATAAAGCAAACAAGGGCCAGGTGTGGTGGCTCACGCCTGTAATCCCAGCACTTTGGGAGGCAGAGGTGGGCGGACCACTTGAGGTCAGGAGTTTGAGACCAGCCGGCCAACATAGCAAAATCCTGTCTCTACTAAAAGTACAAAAACTAGCTGGGTGTGGTGATGCGTACCTGTGGTCCCAGCTACTTAGGAGGCTGAGGCAGGAGAATCACCTGAACCCAGGAGGTGGAGATTGCAGTGAGCCGAGATCACACCACTGCACTCCTGCCTGGGCAACAGAACGAGACTGTCCCCCAACCCACCCACCAAAAAACAAACAAAAACCTCAAAGAAGATCGAGAGCATGTTCCCAGACTGGCCATTGTGTGCCCAACGTGCTGAGTCTGGTCCTGTAGCATCCTCTGGGGGAGGGGATGATGCCAGTTGCCTGTCATCTCCACCCTGGAAGAATGCCAGGGCACACTCAATCCCCAAGTCAGCTCACATCACCAGAGAACTTGAATGAGACCTGGGAACGTCACCTTGCCCTGAGATCCAGGTCAGTACTCCCTCCTCTGTGGTCTTGCCACCAGTCATCCATGGGCCAGGCTATTGTAGAACCTAGTGAGTGCAATGGACTTTTCAGCTCAGAACTTCATCCCTCTTTGTAGACTAGTACTCACCACTAGGACTTTCTGGGATTTTCAGGCATAACCCTGAAATTCAGGATGAACTTGCTCTCCCCAAATCTATTGACATCAGGGGCTTATATCCTTCCCAATTTTTGTGCAAAATTCCCTGAGACAGCCTCCGCTCTGGGAACCCAGTCTAAGTCATGCTCTATTGTTCTGCCTCAAGATCTCCAACTGGTTGTTCTCTCTTTCTGAAATGCTCTCTCTCCATCTTTTCATGGCTGACTCCTTCTTACCATTTAGGTCTCAGTTTAAATTGTCCCTCCTTTACAGACAGGCTCTCCCTGCTTTGCCTAATAAAGATCAACCCTGCTGTATTTTCTTTCTCCCTTACCATTTTCAGAGGTGACTATCCAGTATCCAATGGGTTGGTACTGCCCTTACATAGGATAGCCTTTGTTCATAGCTCACAATGAAAAACAGAAAAATCATAGGATCTGAAAGGAATGGGTCTTCAGGTGTTATGGGGAAGGGGACCTTAGTGGTCATTTAATCTAAATCTTGAGCTGCTACGACAGTCATATTCAGGTGGTTTTTTTTTTTTCTTTGTTTTGTTTGTTCACAATGGCTATGGAGAGCTGGTGAGCAAAGGTGACTGTTGTGTCCCACTGAAATGCTTCTGGGATATCCAAGGTAGATCATGATGTTAAGTAGAATCAGCTATGGGGTCAACTATTAGGGGAGTGCAAAAGTAACTGTGGTTTTTGCACTGTCGGACTTTGCTATTTGATATTAAATACATTCTTAAATGTGGTTATGTTATATATCATTTTAATGAGAATTTCCTGCTTTATGTATTTTTGCTAATGACTTATTACTTGCTCTTTGTTGTATGTTTATTTTAGGCTATGGAAATGATGTTAGACAAAAAGCAAATTCGAGTGATTTTCTTATTCGAGTTCAAAATGAGTCGGAAAGCAGCAGAGATAACTTGCAACATCGACAATGCATTTGGCCCAGGAACTGCTAACAAATGTACAGTGCAGTAGTGGTTCAAGACGTTTTGCAAAGGAGACAAGAGCCTGGAAGATGAGGAGCATAGTGGCTGGCCGTTGGAAGTTGACAACGACCAGCTGAGAGCAATCATCGAAGTTGATCCTCTTTCAACTAAACGAGAAGTTGCCGAAGAACTCAACGTCAATCATTCTACAGTTGTTCAGCATTTGAAGCAAATTGGAAAGGTGAAAAAGCTCATTTAGTGGGTGCTTCATGAGATGAGGGAAAATTTTAAAAATGGTCTTTTTGAAATGTCTTCTCTTATTCTACACAACAACAAGGAATAATTTCTCAATCGAATTGTGATGCACAATGAAAAGTGGATTTTATATAACTGGCAATGACCAGCTCAGTGGCTAGTCCGAGAAGAAGCTCCAAAGCACTTCCCAAAGCCAAACTTGCACCGAGAAAAGGTCATGGTCACTGTTTGGTGGTCTACTGCTGGTCTGATCTGCTACAGATTTCTGAATCCTGGTGAAACCATTACATCTGAGAAGTATGCTCAGCAAATCAATGAGTTGCACCGAAAAGTGCAACACCTGCAGCCAGCTTTCGTCAACAGAAAAAGCCCAATTCTCCATGACAACACATGACTACATGACACACAGCCAATGCTTCAAAAGTTGAACAAATTGGACTATGAACTTTTGTCTCATCTGCCATATTCACCGGACCTCTCATCAACCGACTACCACTTCTTCAAGCATCTTAACAACTTTTTGCAGTGAAAATGCTTCCACAACCAGCAAGGTGCAGAAAATGTTTTCTAAGGGTTCATCAAATCCTGAAGCATGAATGTGTATGCTACAGGAATAAACAAATTTATTTCTCATTGGCAAAAATGTCTTCATTGTAATGGTTCCATTTTGATTAATAAAGATGTATTTGAGGCTGGGTGCGGTGGCTCATACCTCTAATCCCAGCACTTTGGGAGGCTGAGGCAGGTGGATCATGAGGTCAGGAGATCAAGACCATCCTGGCCAACATGGTGAAACCCCGTCTCTACTAAAAATACAAAAATTTGCCAGGTGTGGTGGCATACATCTGTGGTCCCAACTACTCAGGAGGCTGAGGCAGGAGAATTGCTTGAACCTGGGAAGCGGAGGTTGCAGTTAGCTGAGACCCCACCACTGCACTCCAGCCTGGGCAACAGAGCGAGACTCAATCTCAATAAATAAATAAATAAATAAATAAATGAGTTTGAGCCTAGTTATAATGATTTAAAATTCATGATCCGAAACCACAATTACTTTTGCACCAACCTAAGAGATGTCTAAGTAGGTCATATTCCACCTGCAAAGAGAAAATTCCATCTATCCCTTGCAGATGCATGGAAACTCACCGTCTCCAGTGGACAGTTAACTCCAAGGGCATCACAGAGAACTCATGGAGCTCAGCTGAGGAGGTTTCAGGGATTTTTCTATTTCCTTTTCTTCATCATGAGAGTCTGGTACTAGATGCTCTCCAGACCAGAGCCTAAAGACTCTTCAATCCTTTGAGATGAAGATGAGGGAGGGAATAGGAAACCCAGTTTAGTTTGGATTTCAGATCCTTTTGTGGTTCATACGTGTGATGATTAGGTTTCCATGTTCATGTGTGAGATCTGTCTCCCTCAAACCGTGTTACAATGACATGGGCGCCTTACCTATCTGACATGAAAAAAGCAAATGTGGATTTCAGACAAACAAAAAATAACTTTTTTAGTTTATGTCCCATAGAATATGTGGACATATTTATCCTAAAAATATTGTATGGGACATAGTTGTATTAAGAAACTGTTCATTGTTTATCTGAAGTTCAAATTTAACTGGGTATCCTATATTTTATGTGATGTGGCAGTCTTATGGAGGAGGGGCCAACATTTAAAATAAATGGCTTCCCTAGGATAGAGCACTGGGACTGGGGAAAACAGAGGCCGCAGTCAGCTGTGACTTTTTGAAGGAAGGAATGAAGTTGGTTTCTTTCATGCCAATTAAGCAATTACAGACGACCCTGTCAGAAATCTAAACCTGTGACTATCATGGGACTCAAGACCAGGAAAAAAAATAAGTCAAAAAGATTAAGAGCCAGAGAAGCAGTCTTCACACATGCGGCCAGCCAGCGGACGGAGTACTCTCTCATTCAGGAAGGTAAGAGCATTGCCCTCTTGCTATAATCATAGTCCTTTTCTCCCAGAATAGGATTTGGGAAATTCTGGTGAAGTCCTCTGCCTACCCTCATTGCCCCACTGATGTGTGACGTCAACAGAATTTCTCTGCAACGTTTGTCAGTCTCCAACTTCAGAGGGCTCACAAAGTCTCCTCCTGAATCCTCTCTCAGTCCTCTGAGACTACCAAGAAGAAAAGCAATTATTCAGGATGGCAGCTTGCCGGGGAGAAGCAGCCTCCCTGAGGTAGATGTGTTCTCCTGTCACTTAAAGAACCACTTCTTCTGGTCTGAGTAGTAAGAGGCGCGTTTGCTGTTGCTACACCATTTGCCAAGGTTCTGAGCTTGAGGTATGGGATGTATGAAAACAATTTAATGAAGAATTAAGTTTCCATTCTGTCATTTTGAACACAGGGTTCACTCCTATATTATTCACTTGAGAGGATCAGTGAGTTTGACTTTAATTTCTTTTTTTACAACTGGGAAGGGTAAATTACACATAAAATGTCCCAGTGGAAAGGGGTCATGTGGTGAAATCCCCACTCTTCTCTCCCACCCCTCCCTGCTGTTTTAAACTGGAGCTCATTAATATAATTCTATGGGGATCAGACCTTTGAAATTCCTGAGAACAGTAAGAGAGCAGAAAAATACACAATAACAAGAAAAGGAGCTTCCATTATTGGTTTTTAATGAGCATACTTGAATTACGGCCACTGCAGTTTATGGACAGTTTCTGTTGTTGTTCATTTGTATATGTTCTAGTTAAAAAAAAAAAAATGCTAGCCAAGGGACTTGAATCAGAGAGAAGCAGAAATTGACTTAAGTAGGAAGGGAAACACATTGTTAGATAAAGTCAGGTCCTGGGCTTCCTCAGCTTGTTTTGGGTGGAGTGCCTGGTGACAAGCTGAAGCCCCTGTGTGGGGTGGTTTCCTTTGCTGAAAAGCTGGGTTGGAAGATGCTGTGCTCAGCGCTCAACCTCATGCACCCTCGCAAGGCACAGGCAACAGGTGCTCTGGGAAACATACATTATGTATCATAGCCTCTGTCTGTCTGTGGACTGATATCCAATAATAACTTTGGAGAAAAGTAACTCCTCTTATTTTATTAGCCACAGCCCTGGGCCAGGGAAGGTGGAGAATCAGTAAAAATGCATTGTTTGTTTGTTTCTCTAGAAGTTTATGGTGCAGAGTCAAATTGAAGGCACATGAAGAACATTTTTTCACCAAATAATAACTGAGTCTTTTTGCTTTCGTTTGTAGTTTCTTCTTTGAACTTTAGTTAGTAGGAGGGGTTAGAAACCTGAGCTATTGTCAAAGCCCTTGATATCAATGAAAGAAGCAGGTGCAAATCTCCTCACAGAGAGAAACCAAAGGGTCCTGACTGTGGATATTGGTCATCTAGTAAGGATGCTGTTGTGGGTCTTTATGAGACGATGAACAGGGTGGCTTTGGATGCATTAATGATGCCCACATGCTTCTTCTGTTAGGTGTCCTGTGCCCTGACCCTACAAGATGCCAAGAGAAGATGCTCACTTCATCTATGGTTACCCCAAGAAGGGGCACGGCCACTCTTACATCACAGCTGAAGAGTAAGTTCAAAACCAGACCCAGCAGGGCTTCCAGTTTGCCATTTGCTGACACAGCCTGCTGACTTCCACCAGCACATGCCTGCTCATAAATCTCCCTAGTGTTTATCTCCCCAGACAGTAACATCCCTGGCAACAAGGGGAGGAGATTCTGTGCTTCTACAAGGGGCTCAGTCAAGCTTCTCTGAGGCCAAACAGGCAGGAAGATGGGAATGGTATAAGGTTGGATCTTGCCATTTTTGGGTGCACTTTGACTATTGGGCCTTATCTGTAAGTTCCCAAGTGGAAAAACATCTGTTCAGAGTCACAATGCCTCTTTCCTCAATCCTTGTTCTGTCTCCTCCACTCAAGCTCCTGAAGGTGGTTTGCAGACAGAATAAAAGTGAGTTGCCAAGGAGCCAGTGAGGATGATGGGCAGGTGCATGTGACTCAGCCCACAGCCAGACTCAAGAGGAAGACTGAAGTCACAGCCTTTGCAGCATAACTTTATCCTAAGGAAAGGTGTTGGATATTATGAGTGAATTAAAAATAACTATTTATATGATTAAGCATTTCTAAATGCTAAGCATTATATACTGGCCTGAGATACTGTTTTTATCTTTGAAAAAACTCACAACCTAGTGGGAGAGTTAGGCATGAGATTAATTTCAGCAAATATAAGTGTGGTGATGAAAACCCAGAGGCTGCAGGGACATACTCTGTACGTGCTGGGAGTGGGAAAGGGACATACTCTGTACGTGCTGGGCGGCAGGGGCAGGGGAGGCCCCACCCTGTGCGTGGGACTCCAACAGGACAATACCCTCTTATGTGGTCTGTCCAGAACTCCCTGCGAACCTGCTCTTTCTTTGGAAAGAGCTGTTGAACCATCTTTAACAGTCAACCGCAGGGACCAGCAAGATGTAAGACCCAACAAAGGTACTGAGGAAGAATTCAGCATTTCCTCAGAAGACCCTGGTATAGGATCCTCTAATATCCCTGGCCAGTTGGAGTTGAGGGCAGTGGTATCTTCTCAGAAAATGTCCTGAGAGCAAAAATATACTCTTTGAGGGAGGGGAGCCCATTGGCCATGGTATTAGTTAATCGTTTCAGCTTCCGTATAATCACTCAACAGACTCTTCTTTAAAATAAAGTTTTATGTCTCGTGTAAAAATTCAAGAGTAAAGAGTTCAAGGCCTGTTCCTTTTCTTCTTGCTGGTTACTCCCCTGGGATGTCGCTTTTGTCTCCATGGCTGAAGATGTTGTGCCATCACTTCCACATCTTGCCAACAGAAAGCAGGAGGTGAAGGACAGGCTAGGACCATTCCTTTCAAGGGACACACGTCACTTCTGCTTATTGCTCCACCCCCGCCCACCCCCTCCCCCGTGGCACCTGTGGGTATCATTCTTGCTGTGTTGTAAATGAAGAAAGGTTTAGAGAAATTAGGAAATGTGTGGCCAGACATGGTGGCACTGGGATTTAAATCCAGGTCTGCTTGTCCCCAGAGTCCATGCTCTTAAGTGTTATGCTGCAGGCCAGCAGAGGCAAATATTTGCACAATCCCATCCAACAAGAGGCTAGGGCAGAGGTCAGTATCTCTCAGTGTGAAGCTGGAGGCTGATGCTTGTCAGCTCAGTAGGCTGAAAGCGGAGTTGTCCTTTGCCATGTAGGGCCATCACGCCCAGCTGGGGACCTCATAGCCAGGTGTACCCACAACCTGAACAAGGTAACTTTCAGGGTCTAGTCAGGAAGAAACCAACTAGGTGGTTCAACATACAGACTTTAATATAAGAAGCTGGTTAAACAGGCATGGGACTGAGACTGAGGAGGCAAAGAAGGCACAGGGGTAACCAAGGCTGTACCCACAGAATGCTGCTTCTACCCCTATGTCTAGGGGAACAAAGGGAAGGGTGAGGCCATCAGGACCTAGAATTGGGAGGAGGGAACCCACAGAAATGGGACCCAGATCTCTAAGGAGAGATTTCTGTTTGGCTGGTTCTGGTGTCTCCGGAGCTTAGAAGTGAGGGGCAATGAATCAAATACTCATGCCTCTGAGGTGGGAGCACTGGTCAGCCAGTGCTCTGCTGGGGAGGGGCATAATGAAGCTGGCTCTGAGAATGCCAGAAAACGAGCTGGTGCTTGGCATGTACAGACAATGTCAGCATTGCTGGGGTGATGATGACGGGAGCAGGAAGCACACTGGAAGGAGCTGCTCCTTCCTGACCTCCTAGGTTTGCAGGCCCTCTCTAGAGTACTCCAATGGGAGCCAGTGGGCAAAGGAGAAGTGGCATTTGCAGAGTCCAGTTCCAGCATCAGAGAGCAGAGCATAGAAAGGTGGGTTTGGAGTTGAGGGACAATGTCTTAATAAAGGGCAAAGGGGGTTATGACCATTATCATGTGAAGGAATCCCTTGACTGAAGGCACAAGCTTTCTGTGTCTTGCAACTTGAATGAAGTGCATAAGCAGGGTCAGGTGGGTTATCTGACATTTTCCTTGAGAACAGGAGGGAACCTCTGGATTCCAGCACAAAAGAAAAATACCCACTCAACCCATATGTGTGGGACCATCTCTCTATAAAGAGAAAGTAATTCCTTTTGACATTTTGCTGTCTGTAGAAGAGTCAGATAGCCAAAGCTTCCAGCACATTGAAACACTTAACTTCAGACTGTGAGTGAAGGAACCCCTGAATACATGGAACATCATGATCTTGTGCAGGTACTGAAGGAGATCCGTCCAGAAAATAAGTAACTGCACACGGCACCAATGTCAAAACTCATTCCTCTCATGAAAAGTCCCTGCCCCCGTTGCTGTTTGTTTAAATAGGTGGGATGGAGGTAGGGGAATGGGGCCATCTTCTTTTTTTTTTAATTTTTTTGCATAAAATCAGGATCCTGCACAACAGGGCCAACTTCATTAAAGCAATGCATCCCTAAGATATGAGACTATTTATCCTTCTCACAATTGTGCCAGCAGGTGGAATGAGGAAGAATGATGCAAATTAAGTTCCCACATCCAGCCAGGAAGGACTACATATCTGCTTTGAGTATTATCAATCTCTTTGAAACCTCAGTGGAGAGCAGTTCTCACAGTTGAGTGGACACAAGTCATCCATGGAACTTGTTAAAATGCAGATTCCTAGGTGCTGCCACCTAAGAGGCTGATTGGGTAGGCCAGGGGTGGAGTCCTATGATCTGCACCTCAGCGTGCATCTCAGGTGATTCTGCTGCAGGTGACATTTGGAAGACACTCTGAGGAGCCCTGCCAAACTGGGCAGTGGGTTCTTCCAATGTGTGTGGCATACCCTGGTGCTTTTCGCTGTCAGTCACTTGGGCATGTTGTGAGCACCATGTGACGATGCATAAAGTGCTGGAACAGAGCTCTGTCTGTGTCAAGATGTTCAAGCGGATGCCACAGGGTGAAATGAGAGCACAGGCATGTTGGGAGTTGAATCAGCTGTCTTCAGTCATGAGAACACACTTGTGACAGCTTCAGTTCAGGAAAGAGTGACTCTGCAGGAAAAGCACTGGCCTGGGAGACCTGGATCTGGCCCAAATTCTGGTGCTCACTTGCTAAGTTTCCAGTGCCAGTTGCTGTGAATGTTGGTTCTGCCACTTACTGGTTGTGCAGCCCTTGTGCAGCCCTGGGCATTTGACCAGCATAACATCAGTTATAAAATGAACACCATTCCTACCTCAGAGGACTGTGGTTAGGATGAAATAAAAGCATATATGTGGGGCTGTCTAGCCCAGTGCCTGGCACAAATTGGTGCTCAATGAATGGTAGTCACTATGGTGATGGTAATGTTGATGAATCTTCATAGGTCTCAGCTTCCTGATCTATAAAGTGGGTGGACTGACCTACATAAGTCAGAGTTTCCATCTAGCACTGTCATCCCATGGTTCTCTCCATCCCGTTTGCAGATGGACAGGATAAGCTTGATGTCTCCTCAGCCTTGAGACAGAAGTTGTCCAGTAGATGGTACTGAGCAAAAGTCTCTCCAGGAGAAGCCTTAAACTTTGCTTCTCCTGTAGCTGCTCAGTCTCTTATAAGTCACTCAGCTCAGCAGAAACTTTCTTAGCGAGTTGACAGCCACAGATAACAGAGTCAGTTCTGTCGATTTTGATCATGCTGTGATCAAGTAGATGTTAGCTAACTGAAGATGCTTGCCAGGAGTGAACAGCTCCAGGCCCTGTTTTTAGGGTCTCTGTGGTAACTGTAATGCTTCCCAGGGGTCCCTGAACACAGGGCCCAAGAGGCTGGTGTAGACCCCCAGATTGGCACCCTGCTGCTTAGACAAGATCCTTCTCAATAAGTAATGCTACGGCTTTGCTGTAGGTTCAGCCCAGACACTTCTCCCTAGGGCTGCAAGGAGCAAAGCGGGGAGTTTAGGGAAGGGAGGGCACGAACATAATTGAGACGGATTCAGGTTCAGATCCAAGCTCTGTTTTGTGCTAGCTCTTTATGATCACCAGTGAGTCATGTATCCTCGGCCTTTTATTTCCTCATCTGTGAAAATAGGGGATGATAAATGGTGTCTACCCTCCAGTGTTGATGTGAGAATTGAATAAGCTAATGAATGTTTAGTACAGCACCTGGCTTTTAGTAGATGAGTCAGTGTTCATTTCTATTTTCTTTTTGTGGGCTGAATTAGAGAAAATGTTCTAAAACAGCCTGATGAGAAGAAAAGATAATTTAGCCCCACTAAATACACTGTCCACATAAAGACCAGTTACTATGGCACTTCTTGTACCTGGAACTTGGGTGCCTGGGCCATGTCAATTAGCAGTGCTCCTGTGGGCACACACTTGAGAGGCTCCTAGATAAAGACCTGCACTAGATCCAGGTGCTGGAGGCCTGGTGGGGTGCCCAGTGTGGGAGGTGGGAAACTACCTGGACACTGGGAGATGCTGCTCTGGGCAGTCAAAGCCCACATGAAGAGAAAGATTGATTTATGCTTCATCATAATATAGAAAAATGTTTCAATGACAAAGCGGATTTGTCTATCTCTTGGGCCAGGGCCGCTGGGATTGGCATCCTGACAGTGATCCTGGGAATCTTACTGCTCATCGGCTGTTGGTATTGTAGAAGACGAAATGGATACAGAGCCTTGATGGTTGGTATAGTTCCCACAGCTGAAATCCCTCCAGGTCCAGGGCCCTCTTTCCAGTTCTTTCCTCTGAGTCTCTGCAGAGTCAGATAATTGCCTCATTACAACCTCTAGCTCTGATTCCACCTTCTGATGCCTCTTTTGCTACATTGTACTTTGGCAACTCTTCCTTTGCTTCTGCTCAGGCATGAACCCCAACCAGGAACTTGCCCTGTGCCTTAGTCTGTGACTATAACAGAATACCAGAGACTGTAATTTATAAATAAATGAAATTCATTTGGTTTACAGTTGTGGAGGCTGGGAACTCCAAGATCTAGGGGCCACACCTGGTGAGGCCTTCCTGCTGTGTCACATCATAGTGGAAGGCATCACATAGGCAAGAGAGTGACAGCAAGAGGGAGCTGAACTCATTTTTTTTTTTTTTGAAACAGGAAATCTTGGGATGGAACACAGTGGTGATCATGAGTCACTGTAGCCTTGACCTCCTGGGCTCAAGCCATCCTCCTGTCTCAGCCTCCAGAGCAGTTGGGACTACAGGCATGTGCCACCACACCCGGCTAATTAAAAAAACTTTTTTTTTTTTTTTTTTTTTGTAGAGACGAGGTCCCACTATGTTGCCCAGGCTGGTCTCAAACTCCTGGGCTAAAGGGATCTTCCTGCCTCGGCCTCCCAAAATGTTGAGACTACAAGTGTGAAACACTCCACACACAGCCCAAACTGACTTTTATAACAAACCTACTTTTGCAATAACAAACACACTCCTGCAATAACATTAATCCATTCATGAGGACAGAGTCCTCATGACTTAATCACCTCTTAAAAGTCCTACCTCTCACCATTGTTGCACTGGGGATTAAATTTCCAATACATGAATTTTGGGGGACACATTCAAACTATAGCGCCTGTCTTTTTGGTTCTACTCACAGCAAACTTGGATACCTGGATGTTGTGTACAGCTAAGCACTGACGGTTTATAGGGCACAGGGGAAGGGGGTTGAGGTTCCCTTATAGCAAACAGGAGTATTCTTACACACCTAAGGTTTTACCACTTCTGAGAATTCTTGCTGGTTCTGTTACTCCACTTTGTGACCTGGTCTTCCTACCTTGCTTCTTTACCCCTTTCCTCACTGGTTACCTGTGAATTCCAAATTCTTCTGACTCTACACTAAGCATCCCAGGATATCATCAGTGCAATGAGGAAACCATCCTCCCTGCATCAGCACAAAAGGTCACTGTGTGTTTTTTAACAGGCTGCATCCTTCTTAGATGGCCAAAGGTTTTAATAGTATTTTCTTTCTTTTTTACCCAAATATGCAGGAAGCGAACACAATTACACAATCCAGTCTTCTGGTACCAGTATCCTCCATGAATGGGAAACATCAACTGAGTTTATAAGCTATAAAAACTACAGATTTCAGCAATCTTGCTTCAAAGCTAGGTAGCACTTTAGCACTTCAACACCCAAAGGCATTCTCCATAGATCTCGATCTCTCTCTCTCTCTCGTTATTACAGATCTGAGAGCTTTTTCAGGTTGATGCAAAATGGAAAAAAATTATCTTTACAAAAGATGTTGGAAAGTCCCATTCCTCATTCAGCAAGCACTTCATTTAGAGGAAAAGGTCCTGTGAAAGAGAGGAGGGTTGGTGTGGGGTAGGGATTGAAGCTTGGCAAGCTGATGAGAAGGAGAAGGTGAGAGATGCAACTCTGGATTCTTTCCCTCTTTGCCAAGAAACTTGGGCAGTCTCATGTCTCCTGTTCCCCAATGTCTGTCTTTCCAGAGCATAAATACAAATGCAAACCATAAAAGGCAGGGCAAGTTTGGGGGCTGACACACCCACCGAGCATAGCCCTCTAGTGTGCTGACATTTAGAGGGAAGGAGGAGGAGGAGTTGATGAATCTGAACAAGACTCCAATATTGGAGGAAATACTTGAGGAAAGCCTTGGGTTAGAAAGTTAGGTATAGAATTCCTGCTCATATGGCTGTCCACAACAGGTTAGTAGGGGAGGACTTTAATCTCTGCCATATAATTCCATTTGTAACTCTAGCATGGGGTTATGACACTGCCTTGTAATTGGCTATTTACTGTTTGCCTCTTCTACCCTTCTGCTTTCCCCATGTATGAACCAGAACAGAGAATATTTCTTACTCATCTTCATATCTCCAATGCCCAGCACAGTGCCTGGCACATAGTAGTCACTTAATTGTGTGGCATTAGGACTTGGTCCCACTGTCTGCCATTGAGTTGCTTGGAGACTAGAATGCAACTTCTCCAAGACTCACTAGCTCTATCGTACACCCACACACGTTGGAAATCTGTGATGTAACACAATGTATATCCATTTTTATTTAATACATATTTTCTTCTATATTTTGATTTCATTATATATTTGTATATCAAAAACATGTTTAGTCTTTCAAGAACTAAAGCTATACAAACTCAGTATATTGGTACTCATTTCCTAACTAACTATAATTATTAGCTTGATCCTACTGAACACAAATGCAATAATTTTTCTTTTCGGCTTCAATGCTCTCATCTTAAATTCATTCAACTGAAAAATAACAGAGAGTCTTAATGTCATGTGCTCAGACACTGTGAACATTTTGCTTGGTAAGTTTCAAATTCAAACTCTATGCCTCCATTCCTCTAGGATTAGATCAGTGGTTTGTAGTTTCTGAGACTTTTTGAGAGGGAAACGTGTTTAAATTTCTTGGTTTATTTAATTTCCATATTTATTTTTAAAATTAATATTAAAATCTTATTTTGAGATTTTCATATATCTAGAAAAGCCAGTTTGGAGATCAGAAGTCTAAGTTTAGGCAAAATTATGTAAAATAGTATATTAAGTATTGCATTTAATTACATAATTACCTCCCTTTCTGTCTTCAGTGATTCTATTTTCATTTTAAAGTAAAGAGCTATAAATGACATTAAATATAAGCTTTGGGCATGTGAATTACTTCATCTTTAACAATCTTCATTAAGCTTGAAATGTCTACTTTTCAATTTCCATTTGACCACAGAATAGTAGAGAGGCTGGCTGGAATTTAGATCTCTTAAAATTTCTCCTTTGGTTAACAATTCCCCTGAGCCCTGGAAAACATCTTTTGAAAGGAAAGGCTGCTTTTTGTAGCAACCTGTTTCTGCAAGAGGAAGTGGGAAATGATTTGTAATAAACTGGACAGTGGTTTTTATATTAAGCAGTTTTACATCTTCACTTGGAAGTTCAAGACAAAATACTTTTGATTCTTGGAGAATTTCATAGCCCTTGCTCTCAGCTCAGTTTACACTCATGTGTCAAGGCACTGTGTTTCTCAATGCATGGTCAGTGGTCACCTGCACTGGAATACTTTGGGGTCCTTGCTAAAAGGCAGATTCTGGGATCATCTCTGGTGGTGGGATTCGGGAATCCGTATTTTAAAATGTACACCCAGTTTTAATGTAAATACAGAAAACTGGCAGTGAACTGGCAGAGTGGATCATACTCTTATCCTATGGTCAGTGAGAGGCTTTAAAAAAAAGAAAAAGAAAAATTGACAAGGGCAGTTTTATTTTTTTTTCTTCCCAATCAGTACACCTTTTAAATCCTTTTCCAGTTTATTGCATTAGTTAGGACTTCCAGTATGATGTTGAAAAGGTGTGGTGAGGCAGGACATCCTTGCCTTGTTCCTGATCTTAGCAGAAAAGCTTCAAGTATTATGTTAACTGTTAATTTTTTGTACCTAGATATTCTTCAGCAAACTTGGGTAAGTTTCCCTCTATCCCTAGTTTATTGAGAGTTTTAAATTATGAATGGGTGTTTGATTTTTCAAATGCTTTTTCTACATCTATTGATACAATCTTGCGAATTTCTTCTTTAGTCTATTGATGTATCAGAATAATTCATTTCTCTCTTCTTCTTCTTTTTTTTCTTTTTTTGACATGGGGTCTCATTCTGTCCCCTAGGCTGGAGTGCAGTGGTGTAATCTCAGCTTACTGCAATCTTCACCTCCCAGGCTCAGGTGATCCTCCCATCCCAAACTTCCAAGTAGCCGGGACCACAGGTGCAAGCCACCACCGCCTGGCTAAATTTTTTTGTATTTTCTGTAGAGATGGGGTTTCACCATATTGCCCAGGCTGGTCTCGAACTTCTGAGCACAAGCGATCCATCTGCCTCGGCCTCCCAAAGTGCTGGGATTACAGGCGTGAGCCACCACACCTGGCCTGATTTCTCAATATTGAACCAGGTTTACATACCTGGGATAAATCCCACTTTGTCATGGTGTGTAATTCCTTTTATACATTGTTAGTTTAACTTGATAATATTTTGTTGAGATTTTTTGCATCTATATTCATGAGAGATATTGAGCTGTAGTTTTCTTGTTTTGCAATATCTGTCTGGTATTAGGGTAATGCTGGCCTCATAGCAATGAGTTACAAATTATTCCCTTTGCTTCAATTTTGTGAAAGAGGTTATAGAGGATTAGTATAATTTCTTTCTTAAATGTTTGGTGGAACTCACCACTGAACTCATCTGGGTCTGGTGCTTTCTGTTTTAGAAAGTTATTATTGATCAGTTTTTATAATAGATATAAATCTCTTCAGATGGTCTAGTTCTTGTGTGGATTTTGACAGATTGTGTCTTTCAAAGAACTGTTACATTCACCTACGTTTTCAGATTTGTGAGCATAGTTGTTCATAGTATTTCTTGCTTATCCTTTTAATGTCCATTACTATTTCTGATAATAGCAGTTTGTGCCTTCTTTTTTCTTCTTAGTGTGGCTAAAGGCTTATCAATTTTATTGATCTTTTCCCAGAATCGGCATTTGGTTTCATTGATTTACTCTACTGACTTTCTTTTTTTTCTAGAGACAGGGTCTCATTCTGTCACCCAGACTAGAGTGCAGTGGCAAAATCATAGCTCACTGTTACCTTGAACTCCTGGGCTCACGCAATCCTCCTGGCTCAGCCTCCTGAGTAGCTAGGACTATAGCATGTGCCACCACATCTGACTAATTTTCTTTTTTTTTTTTTAATTTGTAGAGACAGAGTCTCACTATGTTGCTCTGGTTGGTCTCAAACTCCTGGCTTCAAGCAGTCCTCCTGCCTTGTCCTCCCAAAGTGCTGGCATTATAAGCATGAGTCATTGTGCTCTGCTGATTTCTTGTTTCCAATTTCATGGATTTCTTCTCTAATTTTTATTTTTCTGCTTACTTTGGATTTAATTTGCTGTCCTCTTTATTTTCTTAAGGTGAAAGCTTAGATTGATTTTAGATCTTTCTCATTCTCTAATATACACATTCAATGTTATACATTTCCCTCTAAATACTGCTTGCACTGCTAAGCAGTATCCCACAAATTCTGACATCATATTTTAATTTCATTTAATTCAAAATATATTTAAATTTCTCCTGAGATTTCTCCTTTGACCCATGTGTTATATAGAAGTGTGTTGTTCAATCTCCAAGTGTTTGGGAATTTTTCAGTTATCTTTCTGTATTGATTTCTACTTTAATTCTATTATAGTCTAAGTGCAAACATTGTATAATTTCTATTCTTTTAAATTTGTTAAGATGTGTTGTGTGGCCCAGAATTTGGTTTATCCTGGTGAATGTTCTGAGCTTGAAAAGAAAGTGTATTCTGTTGTCATTGGATGAAGTAGCCTATAGATGTCTATTATATCTAATCGAAGATTTTGTTGAGTTCCACTTTTATACATTGCTAGATTTGATTTGCTAATATTTTGTTCAGATTTTTTTGCATCTATATTTATGAGAGATAATGAATTGTAGTTTTCTTTTCTTGTAATATCTTTGTTTTTGATGTTAGGGTAATGCTGGCCTCACACAATGAGTTAGTCCTTACTGATTTTTAACCTGCTGGCTTTGTCTATTTCTGATAGAGACATGTTGAAGCCTCCAACTATAACTCCAACTTCATAGTGGATGCAACTACTTTTTCTTGCAGTTCTATCAGTTTTTATTTCATGTATTTTGATGCTGTGTTCTTAGGTACATGCATGTTAAGTGTTGTTATGTCTTCTTGGAGAATGAACACCTTTATCATTATGTAATATCCCTCTTTATTCCTGATGACTTTCCTTGAAATCTTCTCCTTCTGAAACTAATATAGGAACTCCTACTTTCTTTTCATTAGTGTTAGCATGGTATATCTTTCTCTATGCACTTACTTTTTTTTTTTTGAGACAGAGTCTCGCTCTGTCACCTAGACTGGAATGCAGTGGTGTGATCTCGGCTCACTGCAACCTCCACTTCCTGGGTTCAAGTGATTCTCCTGCCTCAGCCTCCCAAGTAGCTGGGATTACAGGTACCTGCCATCACGCCTGGCTAATTATTTACATTTTTAATAGAGACGGGGTTTCACTGTGTTAGCCAGGATGGTCTCAATCTCCTGACCTCGTGATCCGCCCGTCTCGGCCTCCCAAAGTGCTGGGATTACAGGCATGAGCCATCATGCCCCGCCTTACACTTCTTTTTTACTTTTTTTCAGTGGTTTCCCTAGAGTTTGCAACAAACATTTACAACTAATTCAAGCCCACTTTCAAATAACACTATACCATTTCATAGGCATTATGAGCATCTTAAAATAAAATAATCCTAATTCCTTCCTCCTGTAAACTAAAAACAAAACCTACATCCTCCAACCAACTGAATGGACCCCCTCTTGGCCAAGGGGACCCCAGGGAAACCTGAAAAACTGAGTCTTGGCCATGATGGGAAGGGAGATGAGAGATGCCTCATTATACACCCTCCCTTTTAGAGTTTTAGGTACAACTGACTAGCATTAATTTTAAAATAGAGATTATAGGACTGACAGAATTAACTCTTTGTGGCAATATCAAATTAGGAACAAGAAAATGCAAGGAAAGGGTTAAATCATGCCCTTCAAACCATAAAATGTTGTTTTTTAAAAAAATTAACCCTGTATAATGTGGTTTACTTTCCAAATTGACTCTGGTATAGCATCACGTGACAGATTGCAGACTCCCTTATCTTAAGCATTCCTTTATACTGACTTCAAGTCTTAAGACAGAGCTGAACTTTCAACCAACTGCCAACTAAAGAATCCCTAAAACTCACCTGTGACTTGTAAGCCTCTGCTTTGAGATGTCCTGCCTTTTCAGGCTGACCCAAAATATACCTTCTGTGTATTGATTTATGATTTTTACCTACAATTCCTGCCTTCCTGAAATGTATAAAACCAAATCATAACCCAACTACCTCAGGCACACTTTCTCAGGACCTCTTGAGACTATTCTCCTGGCCATGGTCATTCATATTGGCACAGAATAAACCTCTTTAAAATATTTTGCATTTTTTTCTTTCTGTTAACATTCCTTTCCCTTGTATCATTGCTGTTATTCATTTCAAGTATATATAAGCATACACAATTAAATACACTGTAGCTATTATTCATTTTTGAACAAACTATTATCTGTTAAATCAACTAAGATGAATATGTTGGGTACAGTGGTGCATGCCTGTAGTCTCAGCTACTCAGAGGCTTAGGCAGGAGGATTGCTTGAGTTTAGGAGTTTAAGACCAGCCTGGGCAGCTTAGCAAGATCATGTCTCCTAAAAAAAAAAAAAAAAAAAAGAGAAAGAAAGAAAAAGCAAGTTTTGGGAGGCTGAGGCAGGAGAATTGCTTGAACCCAGGAGGCGGAGGTTGCAGTGAGCTGAGATCACGCCATTACACTCCAGCCTGGGCAACAGATTAAGACTGTCTAAACAGGAAAAAGAAAAAAAAAAAAAAAAGAAGTTTTTATTTTACCTTCACTTATTCATTCTTGGATGTTCTTCCTTTATGTAGATACAAGGTTCTGACCTATGTTATTTTCTTTTTCTCTAAAGAACTTCAAATGTTTCTTGCAAGGCAGGTCTACTGGTAACGAATTCCCTCAATTTTTGTTTGACAAAGTCTTTACTTCTGCTTCACTACTGATGGATAATTTCATAAGAGTGTTCCTTTTGTAGATTCAGTCTTCTTATCCTTCCCTTCAGAAATATTCTTTGACCACCTATTGGGTCCCAGGCACTGCACTAGAGCTTTACCTCTAGTTAATTCCCACAACAATTCTGAGAGGTAGGTGGGTATTATCTTCCTAGATGCAAACTCAGAATTCAGAGAGGCAAAGTGATGAGACTGAAGGCACACAGCAAGTAAGTGGCAGAACCTAGATTAAAACTCATTCTTAAAACTTTGGCTTCCCTTCTCTTTTCTAAAATGGATTCAGTTACTTCTTCTTCCCATTCACCTTTATCAATTTACATTTCAGGATAAAAGTCTTCATGTTGGCACTCAATGCGCCTTAACAAGAAGATGCCCACAAGAAGGGTTTGATCATCAGGACAGCAAACTGTCTCTTCAAGAGAAAAATTGTGAACCTGTGGTAGGTTGAGATCCTTCATAAGGGTATTTTCATGAATGGCTGTTTTTAACTCAAGTGAATACAATGATTTCCATTTAAAAAGCAAGAACAATGTGAATGTACTCGTTGCCACTGAACTATATATACCTAAAAATGGTTAAAATGGCAACTTTTTTGTGTATTTTATGAGAATAAAAAATAAATAATAATAAAAACAAAAAACAAGGGAAGCACAAGGATTTTCTTAAATTGTGTTGTCACATACCCAGAGTTTCCAGGGTCAATAATGAGAGCCCTACATGTAAGATCCAAAGGAAGAACTTAGTCCTGGATACAATATTCTTTTATGTTTTTAGTCATATTTGCCTTTTTAATGGATGTAGATATATGCAGAGGGGAGGGATAAAGTACCTATTATTTATTGTATAGAGCTGTGCTGTCTGATGGCTTAGCCACTAGTCACGTGGTGCAACTGAACACTTATAGGAGTTTAAAATAAGATGTATTATAATACATACCATATTTCAAAGATATTAGTATGTGGAAAAGAAGATAAATGGTTCATTAATTATTTTTATATTGATTCATTTTGAAATAAATATTCTGATAATATTAGGTTAAATAAAACATTTTAAGATTAATTTTACATGTTTCTTTTTTTAAATGTAGCTACTAGAAATTTTAAAATTACATATGGCCGGACATGGTGACTCACACCTGTAATCCCAGCACTTTGGGAGGCCGAGGTGGGTGGATCACCTGATCTCAGGAGTTCAAGACCAGCCTGGCAAACATGGTGAAATCCTGTCTCTACTAAAAATACAAAAATTAGCCAAGCGTGGTGGTGCACACCTGTAATCCTAGCTACTCTGGAGGCTGAGGCAGGAGAATCACTTGAACTCAGGAGATGGAGGTTGCAATGAACCGAGATAGTGCCACTGCACTACAGCCTGGGCAACAAGAGTGAAACTCCATCTCAAAAATAAATTAATAAAATAAAATAAAATTACGTACCATATTTCTATTGGACAGCACTAGTACGTATACAACACAGTATAATGGTTGAGAGCACTGACTCTGGAGCCAGAGTACTGTGTTTGATTCTTACCTCAACAACTTACTAGTTGTGTGACAATGGGCAAGCGAGTTAACCTCTCTGTGCTCTGGTTTCCCATTCTGTAACATGAAAACAATAAAAACACTCCCAGAATTGTTGTGAGCATTAAATGAAGCCCTGACACATTTATTCTGGATACAATATCCTCTTGTTTTATATTTGGTAGTGTCAATGTGCCTTTAGATACAATTACAAGAACCTCTGTGGTAAAGATGCAATGTATATAGTGTCGGTAAATAGCATTCAATGATTTGTTTGTTAGGGCTTGAGATTTTTACTGTCATGGAAAATCCAGGTATAGCTAAGCTTTTGAGATTTGGGGAACCCCTTAACCCTATTTTTCCCTACTCTTGCCCCCAACAATCAGCATATAAACTTGTGAAATTTAACAATTACTTCACTGGGCAGAAATTATATGTGAACACTTAGAAATTTCAGTCCACAGGGAAACTATAAATATGTTAACTATTTTAACTTAATCCTTTCCTAGAAACATATACACTGTTACCAAGACCAAATTCTCCCTTTCTTGTTCTCACAGGTTCCCAATGCTCCACCTGCTTATGAGAAACTCTCTGCAGAACAGTCACCACCACCTTATTCACCTTAAGAGCCAGCAAGACACCTGAGACATGCTGAAATTATTTCTCTCACACTTTTGCTTGAATTTAATATAGACATTTAATGTTCTCCTTTGGAATGGTGTAGGAAAAATGCACGCCATCTCTAATGATAAGTCAGTGTTAAATTTTTAGTAGGTCAGCTAGCAGTACTAATCATGTGAAGAAACAATGAGAAATATTAAATTGGGAAAACTCCATCAATAAATGTTGCAATGCATGATACTATCTGTGCCAGAGGTAATGTTAGTAAATCCATGGTGTTATTTTCTGAAAGATAGAATTCAAGTGGGTATTCCTGGGCCATCCCATTTCTCTTTACTTGAAATTTGGCTAACAACAAACTAGTCAGGTTTTGAAACCTTGACCAACATGAACTGTACACAGAATTGTTCCAGGTGAGTCTTTACTATGGGGTGCTCACAAAGGATACTTCTATAGGTTTAAGACAAAGAGCTGACTGGCCTATTTATCTGATCAAGAACATGTCAGCAATGTCTCTTTGTGCTCTAAAATCCTATTACACTATAATAATATATTGTAAAGATCCTACAGCTTTCTTTTTTTTTTTTTTGCGTAGTGGGAGGGAGTTTTGCTCTTGTTGCCCAGGCTGGAGTGCAATGGCGCGATCTTGGCTCACCGTAACCTCCGCCTCCCAGGTTCAAGCAATTCTCCTGTCTTAGCCTCCCAAGTAGCTGGGATTACAGGCATGTGCCACCATGCCCGGCTAATTTTGTATTTTAAGTAGAGATGGAGTTTCTGCATGTTGGTCAGGCTGGTCTCAAACTCCTGACCTCAGGTGATCCACCCACCTCAGCCTCCCAAAGTGCAGGGATTACAGACATGAGCCACCACACCTGGCCAGACCCTATATCATAGGTAAGACATATAATGCAGTCTAATTACATTTCACTTCAAGGCTCAATGCTATCCTAACTAATGACAAGTATTTTCTATTAAACCAGAAATTGGTAGAAGGATTTAAATAAGTAAAAGCTACTATGTACTGCCTTAAATGTACCTATGGCAATTTAGCTCTCTTGGGTTCCCAAATCCCTCTCACGAGAATGTGCAGAAGAAATCATAAAGGATCAGATATTCTGGAATGTTGTCATTATTTGCATAGCAACATTGCAATTTGTTTTCCTTTGGCCACATCAACATATCACCTACACTATTATTTATCTAATATTTATCTTTCAGGCAGCTTGTTTAAACTTTTTTTTGGCTTTAATTTCTATTGCCATACTAAGTGGAAAACCAGTATCATTTTCCATAGTAGAGGATAACTATAAAAATGAAGATAATAAAGTAATTTTTTTATCTTCATCAACTATAACCTTCTTTTCTTCCAGTTGATCTAGTCGGTTACTGAAAACCTTGGTGCATTGTCATGTAGTCCTCCATGTTATGGTTTCATCTCTATCAGTTCTTTTAGGTCCTTCTTCGCATTGATTATTCTATTTATCCATTCATCCATTCTTTTCTTCAGGTTTTTAGTTTCTTTTCGCTGGGTTACATAGTTCCCTCTTTCAGCCTGATGATAGTTTGATCAAGCCGAAGCCTTCCTTCTCTAAACTCGTGCAAAGTATTCTCCGTCCAACTTTGTTTCCCGTTGCTGGGATGAGCTGTGTTCCCTTTGGAGGGGAAGAATGTCTCCTGATTTTTGAATTTCCAGCTTTCTGCAACTGGCTTTTTCCCTAATCTTTGTTGGTTATCTGCCCTTTGGATCTTTGATGATGGTGATGTAACTGGATGGGGTTTTTTGGTGTGGGTGTCCTGAGAATGGCCCAAATAGGAACAGCTCCAGCCTTCCAGTTTCCCAGTGCCATGACACAGAAGATGGTGAATTCTTGCATTTCAACTGAGGTACCAGATCATCATCACTGGGGGCGTGTCGAGAAAGTTGGGCTGGGTTCCCTGCGGCTGTTGCAGCCCGACCAGTGGAGAGCTGAAGTAGGGCGAGCACCGCCACACCTGGAAAGCGCAAGGGGGAAGAGAATTCCTTTTCCTAGCCAAAGGAAATTAGACACACAACACGTGGAAAATCAGTAACTCCCACCTAAATACTGTGTTTACCAGGGTCTTAGCAAATGGGCAACCAGAAGATTATAATCCCACCAACCTGGCCCAGAGGGGTCCCACGCCACGGAGCCCCCTCATTGCTACGCAACAGCAGTCCTGAGAATCTAAACTGCAAGGGTGGCCAGCAAGGCTGGGGCGAGGGGCGCCCGCCATTGCTGAGCGTTAAGTAAGGTAAATCAAAGCCTGCCAGGAGCTTGAATTGGGTTAGAGCCGCACCACAGCGCTCAAGGAGCTGGCCCTGCCTCTATAAGACCT